GTTTGCATGGAAATATTGATACTACTGGAGACAGTTGCTTGGTTGTCGAGACTGTCGAGTGACCTGGAGTTATGAACAACAAGCGCGGGAAACACATGCGAGCCGCTGACTCCTGTGGCAACGAGGGATTCGGCAGGCGGAAGACGAACTGCAGGAGGGTTCCGGCTGGAAACGCCGGGCTTTGCTGCAAATCAAATCCTTCCCCAAGCGGGTTTGGTTTGACCGGTCGGCGTACGAGTTCAATCCAACATGTTCATCTCTGGGATTCCAGTGTTGGGCCTGCCACGTAATGCCTGTTCAAGTATTTGTGGTTTTCTGCTCGCCCGGCACATCCTTTTCTGATCTCAATCCGTCTCAATTCCTGGTCGTGTGTTTTTTGAGGTTTGCGGCTTGCGGGTTCGCTCAGTCGCCAATTCTTTTGGGGCAGAGTTCACTGAAGGTGGCCGACCGAGCGGGATGAATGGCCAGCGGTCTATTCGGGCTTAATGGTTTCCCACTAACCCCTCCTTGCAGGGTTCAACGTCTCTGAAGAGCTGCAAATTCGGCTTCTAATCGTGGTGCCACCAACTCACAAGACGCATCATGTGTGTTGCACGGATTGGTCATAACAGCAGGAAACACAACTTTGTTGTCCCGACTCGACTGTAAATCTTTGGCAGGAGGGTAGCTGTGTTCATGACTTGCGATGCATGTATCCAAGGTCATTTTCGAACTCATGGCGGTTTACAATTCCATGCAGGTGTTAATGAACGTCTACGAAATCACCGCAATCGTATATGATGCAGCCAGTTCTGATTTTCGTTTGGACACTCTGTCGTGTGCTCAGGGACACCTGTGTCCAGCGTCGCATCTTCTCGTGTCGCAGCTACCTGGAGATGTGTTCGGCTTCCCAAAACATGCTGCAAGGCCAAAGAATGTTGCAGAGCCTCTTATTTGGTTGCAGTACCATTGCAGACAGCTGGAGCTACTGGATACGCTCCCCGGCCGTAGACGAACACTCAGTTTGTTGGTTGAATTCGGGTGGAACGTTTCTGCAAAGTCTTTTCATGTCTGAGGTTTTTCATGATACTTCGCAAGAAGTTCTCTGATGTATCGCTCTTCCACATGTACTATCGCGTGCTGAATATGTGCCTTCATCGTATTTGGATGAACGTTGCATCAAGCTTCGAGCCGTGCCTTCATCCTTAGAACCCGAAAAATCAGACAGCTGATAGGTGGGGTTGGTTCTTTGGCTTCCACTACGCCTGTGTCGGGCCGACGCTGGTGCCAGCGCTTGTGACCTCTGTCGCCCAGACATTGCAGCGTCTCGGTTGAAAACAGCGGTCACATTGTGATGCCAAACTTGTGCAAGCAGAGTGCTGCCAGGTATATGTCATTCAGCATGGCCTTGTTTGGGGTACACAAGCTGCCGATCTTCCGAAAGGCAGGATACCCAGTGGTAAGATCAAGCGGCACATCTGGGCCTATTGTTTCAGCCGCGTTTAGAGGTTTCAATCTCATGTTGGATTTTGGTTTGTTCCTGTCCCTAGCACATGGGCAGGCACCGATTGCGGAGCTTCAGATTGCATCGTCCGTCGTGTGCTTGCTCCACAACGTGTGCCGTCCTCAGCATGGCCTTAGCTGAGCCCTTCTCACCAGTCGCCCGCACTCTTGGCGTCCTTCTGACTTTTGGCCTCGTTGAAAGGCTTGAGAACAGGCGTCGTGCAAAGTTTTGTTTTGCGGATACTGCATGTGATGCGCAGCGTTGTGCTGCAGCGGCAAAAGCGGAGTCAGAGAGAGCCGGGGCTTGACAGAATCTGGACTGCAAACTTTAATCAGGTTTATGGCGGTGACTGGGCGCTTGCCCATTGGCCTGGCATTGTTGCATGTCTTCGCCGCATGCCTCAAGCTTCCATGGTGGTCTTGAGGAGACCACGACCAGTCATGGTATTGTTTCGGGAGTTGAGGTCCTACTCAACGGTGTGGTGCTGTACACGGACCCTGCCAGCAAGCACTGCGCAGCGCTGGCGACACGAAGTCCTGCTCGGCTCTCTACATCTTTCGTGGGGTCTTTCGTGCTTTGCAGGACTTCCACTTCCGCGAGACCCATCCGCTGCGAGACCCTTTAAGCTGCAGAAGAGTGTATAAGAACTGGCCGAAGAGACGGGATTGGGAGGTGCACTTCTTGGAGCCCTCCTTCTGTGCTCTCATCAAAGGATGCGGTAAAGCCTGGCATGCCGTCGGAGCGCGTCACCTTCTCCTTCGACTCTGCTGGTTGGCTCTACGTGTATCAGCTTCCGGCCTGCATCTCTATCCGTGCCAGCGGCTTTCGAAGCTCATCTGGAGCCCGACTGCCTCCTGCGCAGGTTCGGGGTCGCTGCCTTTCTGCAGGTGCCCGGCCGTAGAGATGGCTTACGACTGTTCTGTGCAGACACGCTTGCAGGGGGGTCTGTCGTTTTGCCACTCCAGGAACACTTGATGCCGGCACCTGGGAATACCCCTGATCCGAGCCACTACCCGGATGGTCTCGGATTCAGTGGTTCGAAGCTCCTCCGCACGTCTCGGACCTGCTTACGGGCCTCCGCCTAAAATCGTTGAGTGCTAGGAGTGCCGGAGCACTGACTGCCCTGCTGCTGGCGTCTGGAACCTCGGTGCCGGATGTCTTCGAACACGTCTTGGCCCAGTGACTCGGCTGCGAGCTGCCGGTCCCAAAGCAGATGAAAGGGGGAAGATGGGGGAAGATCCGGGGCTTTGGCAGATGGATGTCAGGTTAGTGTAGACAGCACTTCGGAGACTCTCTGCTCGGCGCACGCTCTTGGAGCTCAGAAGAGGCGGTTCTGGGCAAGAAAGGTAGCAAACCCCGGAATCCCAACCCGCAGAAGCCACAAGTCCACCCTTGACCGCCGACATCAAGCCGCGACTTTCTGGCCTACCGCCACGAGGTACAAAATCTGTCGCAGGCAGCCTTGGAAAATGCCGGTATGTGCGGAGGAGGCTCTGCGGCAGCGTCTTGCCTGGTAAAGATGTGGCGCATCCCCCGAGCCGAGGGTGTCAGAAGCCACTCGCGCTCCCAGGTATCAATTTCCTGGTGCCTATAAGGTCATCGCTGGAAGGCCGAGAACTTCGTTGAGATCAGGTGCATGTCAATGGTTGTAGCCAGTACAAAAAAGCGATTGCATCATGCAGGCTGCGGATTCTGATCACTCGAGCTCTATTTCGTCCGCCATTCATTATGGGCCACAGACCCCAAGATTTTACAGTTTTGTGCTATTTGTGAATGTTGGCAGCGTTGCAATCGCGCGAAGGCGAGGTTGTGGATGAATTCCCAGACAATGAGACGGCCATCCAACTCCTCATGGCCTCGTGCCATATTCCTGGCATTTGCGGAGTGCTTCCAAGGAATGTCGGGGGAAAGCTGCTTTCCTGCATTTCATTGCATTTCAGCAGACTTTAGCAGACCTGGCCAGCACTCGCCAGCGTGCACGCTGCGTGTTTTTGAGGTACTACTACGATGGCATGATGTGGAGCTCGCTCTTTGTGCCATGGCGCGGTGCCAAAGAGGACCACATCGTGAAAGTCTCCGGTATTGGAGGTGTTATGCGCCTCCTTGGCATCAAGATGGCTGATTGCCGTAACCGATGAAGCTGATCAAGCTTCTGCTGAATTTTTGTGCACTGCATGTGGAATCAGAAGAGGTCGAGCTTGTGATGGAAAGGTCGGACATTCGCCCACCTCTCATTCCTCCTTGGTGGTGCATCCTGCCCCCACCAGTTCGTGTACTGCGTGGCCTATATTGGCAAGGCGCGCCGGTCGCGCAGATTCAACTGAAAGAGCCGCGTGGTCCGTCTTCAGGTTATATGGATGCCTTGATGTGGTTTCGGGCGCCACCTCGAGCTCAGCGACGAGCCGGCACTATGCCTTGTCGCATTGAAGAAGAGAGGACTAAGCACACAGTGTGCTTGGCACAAGAGCATTCTGCTTCGGTCGTTTGCGACAGTGCGGCATCATTGTACCTGTACCGACGAGGCTCGAAGGCATCTGTGGCTCGCGCCGTGAGCGCACCGAGAACTCTGCGTCACTCAGGCCGGGCGCAGGATGCAAAGCCGCAAAGCCACAAAGTCTTCACTGCGAGGCGAAGTCAATCCGGTCTCGGGGAGCGGAAGTGGCAGGCCGCCAAAGCGCTGCTGAAACAGGCCCCGCCCAAGTTGGCCCAGGCCCTCAGGAGTAGTTAGAGGCTTTGTGCCAGCAATCACAACCTCCGCTCTTTTGTCCCCCTCCAGGCATTGGCTGTGTCGGACCCAAGTGGAGAAACTGTCCGCACGCTGCTCAAGGACTTCTATGATGCAAGGACCCCGGCCAGCCAGCTTGGCCTTGTTGACTTCTGCAAGATCTTGCAACTTGCTCAAGTCCAGGAGTTGGACGCTTCATGCTGCCGCGCTTGCCTTTTGTTTGCTGCTGCTGCCACTTGGAGCAGTCACTCCGCAAATTCGCAGCACTGTTCTGGCACTGACTCTTGTTCCGTGGCAGCATGCAGTGGCGTCTCTGTTTTAGTCGGAAGCGAATTGACCTTGGTCACAATTGCTCTTATCCTCGGGTCTTGCATTAACTTGGAGTCCTTGAGAGGATTTATTGTCAGGTGTGAATACTCTTGATCCATGAGTCCCGACAAAAAAGTCAAAGCTAGACGGGGCAAGCCATGGACAGCCTTTCCTGATTTTTCTTGGTTGCCCAGGTAACTTCGGTGAAGTTTGCGTGGCACACAGGGGAAGACAAGCGAGAATCCCGGTGAGCTTGTGAAGCAACCTGCCAGTCTCTCCAGCGCGGAGCAAGTGGCAGCTACGAGGTAAAAGTGTTATCTGCAGAAAATTCCGGTTCAGAAATTGAGCTGCGAAAAGCTTGCAGACTTGCACCGAAACTTCGGGTCCGGTGGATTTGGATGCGAGCGAAAAGCGTCGTGAACGATTTGGTATGTGCGTAGAGGTTGCCATTTGTGACCCGCCACAGGGGTTCCTCTGACCCAGGTTGTGCTCTTCAATGTTGTCATCAAGGCGTGCGAGAGGCTTCCCGGCTTAACCTCTGAGGTCATGTTGTCCTCAGTTTGTCTTCAAATGAAGGGCTCAGCAGTGGCAACGGGCCTTGCGGCTTTTCCGGCAAATGGGCTTGCGTGGTGCCCCAGCCACTGCCAGACTCCGAGCCTGCAGCGAAGATCATCTGGGGCTCTTCCGACTGCCACGCTGCGAGCATCCAGGCGGTGAGTTTCAGCAGCACAATGACCGCCTTGACACATGGTACTAGATGGGCCTTCGACTCAGTTTTCCTTGTGAAGCCCCGGAGGCCCATCTCATTTACAGTCACAGTGTTGTCGCCGCCTGTTTCGGTCAAGTCGGTTCAGGGATGTTTGCTGGGCCTGAGGATCTCAGCATCAGTCTCATGGAGGAGGAGAGACTGCACATCTGACTGCAGATAGCGAAGCTGCATAGTTCTTCCTGGAGCATGTTTTGTTGCCCACTTTGCCGGCTCAGTTCGATCAATCGGGTGCTGCGGTGTGTCGAAGCCTAGAACGGCGGGAGCAGCACAGGGTGTCAGCACCTGGAAACCTCCCCTTGTGAGAAACATGTCCGTTTGTTGTTGTTCGTGTCTGTGTGTTGGCTGGCAGTTCAGCAGAGAGAAACTGTGGCGAAATGAGATGTTTTGGCCGCAATGAAGTCGCATAGGATTCCATGCAGCGTCCCAAATATCATTTCGACATCGGCCACTTGGGGGTACTGATAAACCTAACTAAGCCTTCCTGTCTCCACTGCATCTCAGCAGGAAGCATCCGGTGAAGCCGGAGATTTTCGCTATCCTTCACTGCTTTAACTTGTTCGTCAGCACTCAAGTGCTTCTGCCCTGAATCGCCTGCGTGCCAGGTTCTCTGCCGTAGCTTGCACGGTTTCATGTCTGTGAGAAGTCGCCCGTTGTATTCCTTTCTTGCCCTTCTACCCCTCCCGTCCTGCCATGTCTTACTCTTGGCCCGTTGGTATGATGTTCTAGACTCTATGAGCTTGCGGGCCGCAGGCACGCGGCTCCGAGCTGCTCAACAAGTTTGTATGTTCATCTGCCGGTGCCTTATTATTGGACTCAGCGCGGGAGTCTGAGTGGTTTACAGCGTGTTGTAGAAGAACCTGCAGGGGTTCAGTAGCATGTCAGGCCATGGCTGCCTGCGAAAAAGGTCACCAGTGGCCACTGCCTTAGCCTGGAAGTCGCCGCTGCTCATTTGCATCAGAAGAGCTTGACTGCCCAGTCAGAGTGACATGTTCAGTCACTATGAGTCACACTAGTTGGTTCTGTTGCTTCTTTCGCAAAGCCGCCTTTAGTGTCCCTCGACTCGAGTCTAGAGTATAGTTCGGACTGACGAGGACCATGGCAACACAAATTCTGGAAGAGGCAGAGGCTGCTGGGCACAACGGAAGGTTTACACATCACAAGAGGAGGGCCCCTGCCATCCCAAATCAACGGTGCTTAGGATGCTGCATCTCTGAATTTGGCCATCAGTTGCATTGCCAAGGCACGATCCGCATTTTGCAGTCTAGTCTATGCTTCCGGCGGATTTTCATCTCCTGGAGCTCTTGGTATTTTGCTGCACACTGCCTTGATTGCCTTGCAAAGGCACTCAAGTGGCAACACGCACTTGACCTCGCCGCATCGTTGCCTTCGAGACAAATCCAGCCCAGCGGCATGACATACAACGTCCATGTCCAAGTCGCACGGCGTACGGATGGACGCAACGGAATTTGCCCTGAGCCTCTATTGCGAGGCTTCGATTGGTGCAAGTGGAGCCGGGAATCATTGGACACTGGCCTTGTCAGCCTCCGAGATTATTCCTGTTGGCCGTTTTCATCTCGTCCACCTCTGCAGCCGAGGCATCTGTTCTCCGAAATGCAAAGCAACCAGGCATGCGACCAGTTCTATCGTATTCGTCTTTGGGTTGTGCACGGATTGATGAGCACCAACTTCCAGAAGCTCACAGCACGACACCACATTCTTGATCGTGTTGTCTTCATGACAGATTCGTCGAGAAGGGGCATTCTGTTTTGTAAAATTTACAGATTTCGACAGTGGGGTGACCTGACCCAATAAACCATCGTCATCACGACTTGCAATCTATTCATCAACGCTGCATGCCTGGACTCTGCGGCCAGTCTTTCCTGGATCCTGCTCGCAAGCCCAGCCAAGCTGGGGATGGGATAAGGGCTTGTGTTTGCAGGTGCCCAGCAACAACATGACCCTGGGCTCCCTTGCTTCCGTTCTGGGAGAGTCTTCACAGTGGCCTCGAGCTCTGCAGCAGTTCGAGGTGCGACATCTGGGAATGTCAGGTGTCGTACTGTGGGTGCGTATCCGAGAGCCGGTGGTGCGAGGCTTTTGAAGCAGATGGTGGCGTGGCAGATGCCATCACGTTGTCTGCCATTCTCGCAGGTTGTGTGCGGGACTAAGTTTCCTCATCTTTTCGCTGTCCAGTTTGGGCCTCGGACAGCTTCTCCGAGGCCAAGGGTTCCAGCTGGGAGGCTTCGATGGCGTTGTTCGCCGGGATCAGAGCCTTTGCCCCGAATGTCCGGACAGTCTTGCATGTGTGTGATGAGAGTCCGAGTCCACTTTGCTCCAGCGCACCGAGGCTCGCCAGCTTGATTTGCACGTCCAGCTCCCCAGAAGTGCTGCAGACACATTTGCAGTTTCCGACACTTTCGAATCAGACCCAGGTCATTCCATGTAATGCAGCTATGACGGCTTGCCAGAGGGCTCCCCTGGCTGGTGAAAAGGGGAACTCGTCGAAGCCTTGCGGGTTTCGAGTTGAAGGGTTGAGGAGTTTAGGGATTTCCCGGCTGAAGCCTTAAGCAAGGGTTGGGTGTGAGGGTATGGTGTTCAGGGGTTGAGAGTCTAGGGTTTACGGTTTGGGGGGTTTAAGGTGCACGGGTCAATGTTTCGGGTTGATGTTTTTGGCTTTAAGGGCAAGGGGTGAGGGTTTGAAAAAGGGATCTTGAGGCTGCTTCGGGGTTGGGTGGGTGGGCTGATTTGATGAGATTGGGTGGGGTTGGCCAGTCACCAATCAGCCACCAAAGCAGTCTTGAAGGGCCAGTCCGCTTCACTTCAAGCAGCCCTTGCCAGGCCGAGCAGTGGCAGCGTGCCTTACTGCTTTTCGAGGAGCCCCTTTCGCCTTTCAAGAGAACTCCCAAAATTTCTCGGGACGAGGAAATGGCTTCCATACACCTCAGCCCTGGGCATCAGACCTGGAACGTTGCGATTCAGGACAGTGAATGCGTTCGAGTGCCGTTAGTTGCCACATCGATAAATCTTGCATACATGCATAGCTAAAAATTCCCTCGTCGCTGGGATCTGCAGGCATGCTTGTGCGGGGCTCTTTGGGAGTCTGCTGTTCATCTCCTTCAGCAGTCGGTTCCAGCCTCAGCCACGATTCTTAGTGCCTCTGAGGGCTCACAAGACGCCTGCAGAAAGCGGATTGCCGAGAAGCCGAAAAAGCCTTTTCACGAACTGTCAGTTCAGCGCTCGCGGTAGACCAGACCTTCCTTGCCACCCTCGCAGGAGGAGCCTGATGAATTCGCCTTTAGCGCGGCCACCTTGGCAGTTCTTGCTGCCTCCGCGGATGGTGTCCAGCGCTCAAAGGCAAGGCAGTTGTTCGACTCTTTCTTTTTGACTTAGCATTGGTACATTTCTCTGAGAGATGTGCAAGTGTACAGCCCGCTCATACTTGCATCAAGAGGCATCGTGTTGTGTTCCTTGACCGATCTTATGGCACGAGCAGGCGCTTGCCCTGTACAGAGAGGCTTGCGAGAGGGGAGCTTGATGCCTAGAGAATGCCAGCATAGTCCAGCAGCCACATGGTGATAGCGTACCTGGATACCTGTCTTACACGAGATGGCTGGAAGTTGAGGCCGCATGCCACCTGCACAGCTTCGAGGCCGTTGCATGTGCGTCGGCCCAGGCGTCTCTGTGTGATCGGAGCCAAGGCTGGGGTAATAGACCTGCATGGCCTGCTTGCGGAGCAAGCGAAACTCGCTGCCGGCTCCCGAGTGCCGGACAGGTCCGCAAGCACCGCATGGTTCTATATGATCCCGGTTCGGCCGGCCC